TTGAAGTGCACTCATTCCTGCTGAGGGATTCTGGGAGTTGAAGTGCACTCATTCATTCCTGCTGGGGGATTCTGGGAATTGAAATCCACCCATTCTGGCTGGTGGATTCTGGGAGTCAAAGCCCATCCATGCCCCATGTGGATTCTGGGAGTCGAAATCCACCCACCTGGGACTGGGGAATCTCAAACTCAATTCAACTGTGTTAATTATGGGAATTGAAGTCCTGCCTTTCTTTAAAAAAATTACAGCCTTCGAGCCTGGATGCGGTCCGTAGCCGAACCGCAATGTCTGAGCAACGAAACGACGCCCGAAACGGTCCTATTCCCTCCACCCGGGGCCAATTGGCGATTGATTGAGAAGGACAGATTCTTTGCAACATCCACCACCACCCCGGGGGTCGCCTGTCCCGGACACTCGCGGGGGCGTCTAACGAACCCCCACCCCCCAATGAGAGTCTGTTTCCCCGAAACGGGCTGCGAGTTTCGGAGAAGCCAGCGGAAATTTTGCAATTCGGGGCGGGGGGGGAGTCTGCAGCCCAAAGAAGCCGGGGGGGGGGGCGGCGTATCTTTGCCCCACTCCCTCGCGGGACAATAACAAGGGGGCGTGGGGAGAGAGGCGGGCCGATGACCCACCCACCCCAGCTCCAAGAGGGCGTAAAAAGGAGCGCAGGCGGACCCGCACAGAAGTTCACGATGTCCCGTTGGTTGCTGCTGTGCGTGCTGCTAGTCCTGATTGAGTTCGGCCGGCCGGCCGTGCTGCAAAACGCGCTGGAGAAAGTCCTGGAGGATTTCCACGGGCAGAACCTGGTCCAGGCGGCCTTCCGAGGGCAGGCGGCCAGAGAAGCGATGGAGGTGTGGGGGCTGTGGGCGACAAACACGCGTGGGAGCGGGCGGAGGGCTTCCACGGAGGGAGAGCTTCATCCGCGCGGCGTTCCCAGCGGAGACCAAGAAGCTGGTGGGAGTTCAGCCCGCGTGGGAGTAATGGAAAACTTCCACCAAAGGGGAGGGAGTCTAGTCTGGACGGCGTTCCGTGGGGAGCTCACAAGGGAGAAGGGGTGGGAGGTCGGCACGCGTGGCAGAAGGATTTCCACGGGGGGGGGGCGCAGGGGGTCGTTCCGAGATGACAGGGAGCTGGTTGAGGTTACCACGCGTGGAAGTCCTTTCGGGGGGCGTTTCGAAGTGGGACCTCCAGGGAGCTGGTGGGAGGTCAGTACGCGTGGGAGTGGGGTCGTTTTGAAAGCTGCGCCAGAGAGAGAAACGCGTGGGCTTCGTTTTCCCGGGCCGACGCCCCGGGGAAAGTCCCCGCTGGCGAGAGGGGAGAAGGGGGAGGGAAAGGGGTAACGAGTGAGTTGGGACGGGAGGCGGGTATCAGAGAGACTGCTTCGCTTTGGGGAAGCTCCATTGCATTCCAGCTGTTGGCAGCTGCTCCTCCGTTGGGTTTTGACTTAGTAGTTAGCGGTGCGGAGTTGTTTAACTCCCCAAGTTCAAGAAAGGCACTTTGGAGGGTCATCTAGTCCAGCCCCCCCTGCTCCAACAGCAGAATCATAGAATGACAAAGAGTTGGAAGGGACCCCGGAGGTCATCTAGCCCAACGCCCTGTTCAAAGCAGGACACCTTTATAGAATCCTAGAATAACAAGGGTTGGAAGGGTCCTTGGAGGTCATCTAGTCCAACCTGCTGCTCAAGCAGGAGACAATTACAGAAGGACAGAATCTCAGAGTTGGAAGGAACCTGGCGGGGGGGAGTTCATCTACTCCAACCCCCTCCCAGAGCAGGAGACCCTCTACCTAATTCCAGACAAGTGATTCTCCTGGTCTCTTCTTTGAAACTCCAGTGTTGGAACACCCACGTGGCAAGCAGTTCCACTGGTTAATTGTCCTCACCGTCAGGAAATTTCTCCTTCATTCTAGGATGCTTCTCCTGCCTTCTGGTGCTTTGGAAAATAGAGGGGGGGGGCTTCTTCTTTGGGGCAGCCCTGCAAATATTGGAACGCTGTTATTACCTCCCCCCCCCCAGACCTCAAGAGAACCCCTTCCCAAAATACCTTCTTCTTGGCCCTGTGATTCCTTTGCCATTCCTTACCTAGCTTTTAATTGGTTTTTTATTAGCCTTTAAATGAATTTTCCTTCGCTTTTAATTTGAATTTTCCTTTGAACTCTTGTGTTGCTCGCAGGAGTTACAGATGGGCACCTACGTCCAGTTGGAAGTGGATCTCGTCCAGACGGTTTGCAGAAAACATCTGTGGAGGAGGCAGAACTGCCAGATCAAACCAGGCGGCGTGAGTACACACACATACACACACAAACACACGTATGTACGTTATGGACCGCCCCCTTTTTTTTTCCTCTCCCCCCCCCCCAAACCAAATCTTGCGAAACACAATTGACAAAGTCATCGTTTCGCAAGCCAAACCTCAAAAAGACACACAGAAAACTCTTCGGCGTCGCAGCCTTGGAAGGGGCCTTAGAGGTCATCTAGTCCAACCAGCTGCTGGAGCAGAGTGACAGATTTGGAAGGGACCTTGGAGGTCT